ATATATATATATATATATATATATATATATATATATATATAACTAATATATAACTAATATATAATTAAACTTATACTGACTTGTCATGCATGGGCGTAAGTTGTATTTGTGACAAACTTATTATTATTTTTGTTTTGTTTAGCAGCAGTGATATTTAGTATAATGATAGTATCACAAATGAATCTATGTGGAAAAAAACAACTAAAATAAACAATAAGGAAATGATCAAATTAAAACTTCATGTTTTTACTTTTTTCTGCTTTTAATGTAATTAAGGATAGAGTCAAATCACTTAACAGTTTTGGTTTTAAGTAAACACATCTAAAACAATATTATTTAATTCAAGTTAATCTGAATCATAAGAAAAGCATATAATATTCTTGGATATTCCATACAAGCACCACAATTTATTCGCACCACCTTACTTTGAAAATGCGCGCCAAAACGCAACAGCTGCGCTCTCTGCACCAGGCCCGTGACTGAGGAAACAAACTTAGTTCCCCGCCTTTTAACATTGAGTGAACCGGCCCTGATCGCAATATAACCCAATAACAACGATGCGTTACACGTGATAGACACGGTCAGATTCGTCAGACTAACTACACACCACTACACACAGGGCCCGGCAACTCTCTATCAAAATTGGGAACAAAGCTCGAGGTTGCTACTATAGGAAGCGTTAGTGTCGCCGGGTGCAGCTGCAGGTTAGGCTCGCCAACATTCCCACATACAAATTGGCTAATTTGTGAGAAATATGAAAAGTGTCTTCTAAATGTACAATTATTCATAATGTCGACTTGTAAGAAACCTCTGAAGAAAGCGCGAACGTAGACGTTATCTTTTGTAACATTATGATCCTGCTTGCGACCCGCGAACTCACGCAGCAGTCACGCACGTTAAAAGTATCGTTGGCAGCAGTTCCTGTTTTAGTTCCTGTGAATAAGGTGATGCAGCAGAGCGCGCCACCATAATGGTTTCCACCACGTTATATGGGAGTTATAGGGCCCTGACTACACACCTCAGATAAACCTGGGTAAACTTGGGTAAACTGGTGCGTTGTAGTGATGCCTCGTTCATACTTCAACTTCGTAATAAAAAAGTGATTAGGAACTTTGATAGTATATCATTTTTTCAAAAGAAGAAAGATAGTGTCATTCATTGCATATGTGGGATCATTGAGATGTATTGTTACTTTCATTGAGATTGAGCATGTTTACCAAAAATCTCAAAAATAAAAGCAATCCAGAGAGAAAAGAATATTTGAAACAGCTAGTTACTGAATTTAAGGAAACAAAATCATTTGGTACATGGTTATCAATGTTAAATTATACTTTTGCGTAGTGTACAAAAGTAGTAATTGCATTTACATCTTGTTTCAGATGCAAAGCAACAAGTTCTTGCAAATTTGGCGAATTTTGCGTACGATCCACTAAATTATGAATACTTGAGAGAGAATGCAGTCATTGATCTATTTTTGGAAGAGATTTCAAAGGAAGAATCAATTTTGATGAAATTTGCTTTAGCTGGTCTATGTAACTTGTCATTAGGTTATATTTCCCAGTTTTTAAAATATAAATATTTTTAACAATGTGTATGAAATAAATGCTAGAAGATCAAACATTGCCTTTTAGAAATAATTATAAAATTGTATTTTTGCAGATGCAGAAAATAAGGACTATATTTTGCATTGTAATGGTGTAAAAATAATTTTTCCATGCCTCTCATCACAAGATGAAGATATAGTGTTATCGGCTATAACTACTTTAATGTTTCTTGTAAACCCAGCATCGAAAGCAGGTAAGCAATCAAATTAATTCCATCATAATTTAAAGTAACTCTAATTGAGCTGCATTGAACTAGCAAGTTAATTAGAGTGGTTCGTTTTTATCCCAATCACCGAACACTTAATTTTTGATTTCTAATATAAAGGAGTAAAATATACTACAGAAGGTATTTGAATGTAGGTTTGTTAGGCATCTTACAATGGTTTCATTATGAATTCGGGTACATACTTAGGATTGTTAAAAATTCCATGATAAGAGATTATAAAACTTGTTTGAGTTGGAGAAAAAATATTAGGGACATTCAGTAATTACCAAGACAAATCGATCTGGAGAAGAAATGATTTATTAAATATCAATGAAACTTACACTATTTAATAACGTAAGATATGCTCACAAGTGTGCATGGAATTCATACTTCAGTCTTTGGAGCTGAGCTCGGTAATTGTTTTGTTGTTTCCCATGCACATGATGTTTGGGACACTTTTGCTACATAGTTTCCATACTGCATAGATCACTGACGATGTGATTGGTGGTTGTTACAGAGTTTATGGTCGAATCTGTGCACCTCTAATTATTTACTACAATTGTCATTTCCTGGTTTGGTTTTGGGCAACGCCTGTCTCTCATGGCACTTGTGCAGTAAAAAAGTTCTTGTACCTCTGCTCTCTTCTTTCCGCAAACAGTTTGTTGTATTCTGTGGTAGATGGTAGTTATATCTTAGATCTTCAATTAGAAAGGGTTCTCTGGTTAGTAGATATACATAATATGTATATCTACTAACTATGCAGATATTATCTGGATGGTGTGTATTTTGATGCGCCTAGTACTTTCTTCAAGTATAGTGCCTTGATGATTTCTAATACTTTCAGATCTATCTGCTTTAGGTTTTCTCCTATTTTGTGGATTCCGTATGTTAGAATGGGCACTATCTTCGTTATGATAATCTTTATTGCTATTTGCCTTTCTCTTTATTTGCCTGAAGTGTCTCATTGCAGCTATGGTGGCAATTGCTTTTTGTGTTATTTGTTTGTTGAAGGTGGGTCCTGATGTTTGCATGGTAATTCCTAAGTCTTTGTAGTCATTAACTACTTCCGAGTTTCTTCCTTCCAAGATGATGATGATGATGAAGATGATTATTATTATTATTATTATTATTATTATTATTATTATTATTATTATTATTATTATTATT